CTCATGATTTTATAGACCTCTATCATATCCCCCTTCAGTCTCCTCTTTTCTAAGCTGAAAAGTCCCAGTCTCTTTAGCCTCTCTTCATATGGGACCTGTTTCAAACCCCTCATCATTGTAGTTGCCCTCCCTTGTCCCACCTGTCTCTTCCCCTCTCCCACCTCCTTTTCCCAGTCTCCCCGAGTTTTGTTCAATAAAGAGAGTTTCTATTTTTGAACACACGTGTCCTTTATTTTGTACATCAGGAAGGGGGGCTAAGGAGGGGTAAGTGGAAGGGGGTGAGGGAGGAATGGGGTACAAGCCCCCAATGGGGAAGACTGGGGTGGCTCTGCAGGCTCCTTGGGGACGAAGTTCTCCTGCAGCCCCTCGACTGACCCCCTCCCCCGGATGGCATCCTGCGGCAAGTGCAGCCGGGCTGATGGCCAAGTGCTGTGATGTGCTGAGTGTGGGCACTCAGGGCACTCCAAGCCAGGACTGCTTTGCAAGCGGGGAACCCCTGAGAACTGTCTGTCCGGGGTGGGAGTCGGGTTCCTTTAAGCACAGCCCTCGCCTAGCCTGAGATAGCAGCTCCACGCTCTAAGTCCTTCTCTGATGGCCCGCCGGCACTGCTTCCGGCCATCCTTAACTTCGGTTCAGGGTTCACTCAATGTGGACATGCTAGTTCGAATTAGCAAAACGCTAATTCGAACTAGTTTTTAAGTCTGGATGCGCTAATTCAAATTAGCTTAGTTCGAATTAACCAATTCGAACTAAGTTAGTTCGAATTAGCACTGTAGTGTAGACATACCCTTAGATATCTGATGACAGGCACAATGGAAATAACAAAGTACTTGATATAATGATTTAAATTTATCTATTTATCTGTAGTACTATTTCTAATATGGTTCCATACTAACACCTCTTTTCATACTAAATTGTATTATCTTTAATGTGGGCACAAGGTTTGCAGAAATGTTTAACTATGATCCAATGTTGCTTCTAATCTTTTCCACTAATGTGCAGATTTCTTCCATCTATGCATGGAGTAAATTTTATGTGCAGCAATGCATGTGTGAATTTGCATCACTAGGAGAAACACTAACCTAGCTGTGGGTGTCTGCCAATCAGCTGGGTAGCACTGGAACTCTCCTGAGCTGCTGCACAAGTGCACAGCTTACAGAGACTACTGATCTGGTCCAAGTCACAAGTGAAATAGCTGCCTCCTAGTCTCTAAAACACATCTATCAGTTTCATAAAGCCACTATACATTTTATACGACATGCAGACTTTATTCAGGAAAGGAACCTTATAACATTAGAGTATTTTACAGGCAGTCCCCAACTTACGCGGATCCGACTTATGTCGGATCCGCACTTACGAACGGGGCTTTTCTTGTCCCGGAGCTCGCGGGCGGCGGGACCGCCCAGAGGGCAGCGGTCCCACCACCGCGTCCTCCAGGGCGAGAAAAGCTGCTCCGGGTCTCCCTGGTGTGCTGGGGGGGACTCCCCAGCACAGCAAGCAGACCCGAGCAAAGCCGCACAGAGCAAAGCCGTGGAGGAGCAGAGGTCAGGCCGCCTCTGTGGCTTTGCTCCTGTCTCCCTGCTGTGCACAGCAGCTTTTGTGCACAGCAGGGAGACAGGAGCAAAGCCACAGAGGCGGCCTGACCTCTGCTCCTCCGCGGCTGTGCTCGGGTCTCCCTGGTCTGCTGGGGAGGGGGGAGGGGGCGCAGCTAGTGTGCCTCCCCCCCCAGCAGACCAGGCTTTTGTTGCGGGATGCCTGGGGTAGAGCAGCTGGGGTGCTGCCGGGTTGGTCCTGTGGAGACCTACCCGGCAGTGCCCCAGCTGTTCTGTCCCAGGAGGCCAGA